TATTTTCCTTCTATGAGTGTAAGGAGCAAACTGTCAGTGGTACACAATGGCTCGACTTTATCAAACCAGGAAAGAAAGAGCTCCTGTTTTGGGGGAGAGCTGACAATTGTAGGTTCTGATTCATACCTGTGCAACCGCTACTCTGTAATCAGGCAGTGATTAGTCACCCACAGCCAATTACCAAGCTCAGCTTCCTAAAGCAATTTGTCTCTTGGGAACTTTATAAATCCCAGTTAACTCTGTAGGGAAAAGTCCACTGGCATGGGAGCAGAGCAGAGAATTAGGGGAGATGGTGGCACAGCTTCACAGGAGCTGGTACCTCCTTGCCCAGATAACTCCTCGCCCTCTGCAGTGGGACCACACTCCCTTTCTCCATGGAGCTGCTCCTCACTTTTCTCAAACACACTGCTTTCCCGCACCTAGCACATCCCAAGTTTTATGAAAGGCTTCATCACTTTGCTCTACCACAGCGATGTTCAGAGACTGCCCACAGTCCCCTCACCTCCCACCTTGGTGACAGGGGGTGCACAGTGCCACCATCACTGCAGAAGAACAAGTGACTTCAGATGGTGCCAGTGGTGAGCAGAGCTCTGTGAGTCACTGGTAGATTTTCCTTAACAAGCTCATGGTGCAGCTCTCCAGAGTTACCTGCAGCCTTTGAAAATTATGAGCTAAAATGTTTTCATAGGGAATGGTCAATGGAGCCTCTGCTTTTATCTCCTGCTGATGTCAGGAGATGCTCTGTGCTACCCTCAGGTTAAGGTGGGCTTTTTGCAGGGGTCAAAGTCTCAGAGAATCCCCAAATACCACAGGCTGCTACCTGCTGGGAGGTTATTCTTTCCCAAGTGGAAGTGAGCTGTGTTTGCTGGAAGCACTCTTACACTGGTGTAACCGTGAAGGAGCAGCAGATGCTGTTTTAAGCACACCAGCAAGTATGAAGTGCCAGAATATTTCTCGATAGATTAACTACCAGTGTCTTCTTTCCTACCAAGGCTATGCTGGTTTGAAGAGCAATGGAAAAGCAGCTGCTGAAGTTAGTGTTTACAAAACAGCATGGCCAGAAGGAGACAAGAACCCTGGATAGGGCACAGGGTGATCTGGGCTGTGCCTGCATTCTCGGGAGGTCTGGACGAGGGAAGTCCCAGGCGAACCTGAGCCCTTGTGTGGCAGGGGATGGGGCTGGAGCTGAACAAAGGGGCACGTGCAAAAGGAAACTAAGTCCCTGATGTTGGAGACAGTCCCTCCCCTCCAAATGGGCAGGGTGCAGGCAACTGGTTGTGTGTGCTTCCTGGCAGACCTCACTCTGCCAGAGTGTGCTTTGGGGTAAGACTGTCATTTCTGACCTAAACAATTACTTATTTTCCTTTGCAGGTCCCTCTCTTACCACCGTGTCTAGAGAGCCTGAATTCTTGTGGCAGGTTCCCTGTGCATTCTTGGTTTCCATCCCATCCATGACTGGTGCCAGCTGAGTCTGACAGCCTTGCTGAAGCACACCAGAAAAGCATAAGGGATGTTAGGAAACCTTGTGCAAGTTCACCAGGCCAAAGAACTGTGAAAAAGGGAGGGTCCTCTAGTAAAACAAGCTAGCTGTGTCTGCTTCCCCTTTGTTAATCTCATCGACGTACAGTGTCATTCACAATTTTTACCTGCTACTTCTTTTCCCCTTTGCAACAGAAAACAAGAACAAAAGTAATCTATCCTCTCATGTGTTACATATTTTAAGCACCTCTGTCCCTGAGGCCCCTAGTCCCAAGGTACCGTTTCCCTACATTGTTTGTTGCTCCACACTAATCCGATAAACCTCAACTCCCATATATTACCATACTGCGTGGAGGAGGCTAAGTTTAGCTCCGGTGTATTTTAGTCATCTATCAAGATAAAATTTGGACTGCAAGGAGACTCTGGCGTGCTCCTCCGTCCTGAACGTGGACAGTGACACAAGCATTTCCTCTCCTTACTCTGTCTCCGAATAAATCACTTCAGTACTATTAAGTTCACATAAAGTTCCTCGGTGTGTGCTCCAGGGAGCTGCTAGAGCACAGTGCATGCTTGGAAATGAGCCCTGTGACTTCATGGCTCTCAACCTTGACCTACAATGTTCTCTCCTCCTTCAGCAGCTCAGGTTTTGGCCAATTCACGTAGGGTGTTAAAAAACCGGTTGTGTTAAAGATCCACAAAACGATGCCTACACCCCCCCTCCCCAGGCCCTTGTTGAGTAGAGATGAGAATTGCTTTTTTGGAGAGTATATAATAAACAAGTTGGAAAATACAGTTTGAAGAATCTTCTGTGAATTTATTTTTTTGCTCCAAAATAGGCCACCTTTTAAAGGGTTAAGAAGAGTGACATCATTCAACAAATGAAATGTCCTATTTTGGATGCAGTGGAGCATTTTGCAATAACTCCAAACGCAATTTTTTCATTTTTTGTATGTGACTGGAAAAGCAAATCCAGTTTGACCTCAATTTCCTCATTTTCCCTCTTCTCTGTTGTAGTAACCAGAGTTATAAAACAGTTATTCACTTATTATCCCTTCTCATAGACATTAATGGGAATATTTTACATTTCTTTGTGTGGACTGTTTCTTCTTTAGGTTGTTTAGTGGTGTCTCTGGGCAGGTTGAAATCTCTGTAAATATGGGTTGTTCCTTCTCTCGCTTCCTCTTACTGTTTTTTAGCTCTTACACTGCACAATATCAATGAACACAGTCCATTGAAAGAATGAGTGCATCCAACAAATAATAAAGGAGGAAAATCTCTTTTAACTCTAATGGGAGAGTTTTCTCAGACCTTTCATCTGTGCTTATGCTGACTTACCCTGCCCTTCTCTGCTCTGCAAGGAGGTGGGAGATCCCAACTGGTCCAGGTAATATCCAGGAGCTAAAGGAGAAACTCCCTTCCCAGATATTCCGGGTCTTCCCTTGTCTTGACAATTAGTTTATGAGAAATTCATGTTTCAAATTAGATATTAGAAAAAGAATTTCATTAAAAGAGTGCTTATAGGCATTGAAATAAGTTACCCAGGGAGTTGGTGGGGTCACTATCTCTGGAAGTGTTTGAGAGGCATCTGCAAGTGGCACTTGGGGACATGGCTTAGGGGTGATTATTCTGGTGCTGAATTGATTGTGGAACTGGATGATCTTGAAGGCCTCTTCCATCATTGATGATTCTGGGATTCAGTGTTCCTGGGGTTGCACCAACCCAGGTGCAGCACCGTGCACTTGGTCTTACTAAACCTCATGAGGTTCTCATGGTCCCACTTCTCAAGCTTGTCCATGTCCCTCTGGATGGCTCCATCCTTTATTATTTCACCTGCCCTGCTCAGCCTCCTGTCACCTGCCACCGTGCTGAGGGTGAGCTCAATCCCACTGTCTGTGTCACTGGTAAAGACATTCCAGAGCCCTGGTCCCAAGGCCGAGCCCTGAGGGACAGCCCTCATCCTTGGCCTCTCCCTGGACAAGGAGCCACTGGCCACAACTCTCTGGTTGCATCCAATTACTCATCCCCCGAGTAGCCCACCCTCCAAACCCACAGCTCTCCTGTGTGGAGATCAGGATGTTGTGTGGGACCGTGTCAAAAGCCTCCCAGGGGTCTGGGCACACCAGGGCCTGCAGGTCTGGGGGCTGCCCACAGCCAGACAAGGCCTGTTCCAGGTGGATCCAACCAGTTCCAGCCGGTTCCAGCCAGTCCCATGGTTGTTAAGGATGCCAGGTGTGACCCTTTGTGACAGTCCTCGAGTTGCTGAGGAGGATTTTAGATCCTGGCAGCCTTTGCAGATTGTGTGATTGGAACCTTCTGCTTTGTGGAGGTCAAGGGGCAATAAAAAAGACAGTTGTATTATTTTTCTCTGACTTAATACCTAGAATTGGGAAATTCCCTCCCCACTAAGGGTGTTACTATTTAGTGCACTTTTTGCTGCCAAACAAATGATACAGCTTTCTCTTTTTTCAAGGTCCACTTAAGCAAAATTCCTAAAAATATGTCCCCCTGGGTGAGGAATTGGGCAGTTCCAGCCTCAGTCACCACGGGGGCACCTGCCAGGTTTGGGCTGGGCAGTGTTGGACACCCATGAGATCGTGGTTGTGCAAAGGAAATGAGGTAAGAATAAAACCAGGATTTTTTTACAGTTTCCCTGTGTGCTGTCCCATTCCTGAGAAGTGCTGGACAAGAGGGAGATGGGGTCAGGAAATCTGGAGAGGAGTCTCTGTTCCCTCAGGCCCCGATCTCTGCTCAGTGTGAGCAGGGACAGGACCCAAGGAAGGGCTGGAGTTGGGACAGGATAGGCTCAGGGTGAATCTCAGGACAAGGTTCTTCCCCCAGAGGGTGATGGGGCACTGACCAGGCTCCCCAGGACAGTGGGCATGGCCACAAGGCTGCCAGAGCTCAAGGAACATTTGGATAATGCTCTCAGGGACAGGGTGGGATTGTTGGGGTGTCCTGGGCAGGGCCAGGAGTTGGACTTGGATGATCCTGATGAGTCCCTCCCAACTCAGGATATTCTATGATTCCCTGATTATTTCTGCTGCCAACACCCACCGTGCTCCCGAGATGGACCAGGAACAGAGGAGCAGGACTGGAAAACTCAACATCTTTTCTGAACAGGTTGTGCCGACCCACCCATATGTCCTTAATACATTTTATTTTTTCAGACAGATCAACCTAAGTACCATGTATGTGTCATACATTTGATATAAGGCTGAAGTTTCTGGGTTTAGTTACCAGTCTAAGCAATACCTTTACTATGTCTCTAGAGGCACAGAATTAATTTTCTGTCTCTGGGAGTGTTCCAGCCTCGAGCACTGGGCGGGAAACCTCCTGGAGCTTTCCCCCCTCAGATTGGTTTGGCTGTGACACTCGTCACAGGCACTGAGATCTTTGCAGTGTGGGTGTGTGATAAATGTGAGCTGGGTCCTGCCAGTGGGTTTGGTGTAGGCTGTGCAGCTGCCGGCGGGAAATGCTCTGCAGACCCCATCCATGTGATGGTAGGAAGGGCTGTGGTGGCAGAGGTCCCTTCCAATTTAAATTATTCTTTGATATTTAGCTCAAAACAAACAATTTTTGACACCAGTTATTCTGCCTTGGCTTTTTGCTATCAGCCAGCCTCAGAAGTAATGTACTGCTCCATGGGCTGTAGGGTGACTTGGAAGAGCTCTCACTCCTGGAAAAGAATAAGGGCAGCAAGCCGAGGGAGACTTGGCAGGGTGCTTGAGGCTTTCATGATCTAATTGAAAGGAAGGTGAATTTTGTCTGACTTGACCCTGATTTAAATCCTCCACTCTCTCACTCTGAAGTTTACAACCTCTTCTTTTACTCCCAGCGCAGAGTTCCACCTCTGTTAGAGCCAGAGCTGGCGTGACTCATCCTGGAGGGCACTGCTTTACGTGGTCCTTCGCCTGAGCTGTTGCCCTGCTGTGAGAAATCTGCCATAAGAGAAAGCTGGAAACAGATTTAACCTCATTTTGGATTGTCCACTGCCATCCAGGAGCGGTAAGAATTGTGAATCCATTTATTTTTCCCTTTAAAGCGAATTGTACTGCCTGCCCATGGAAACATAGGGTGCAACTGAGGAAGACACTGCTTTTGTGCAAGAAGTGCCACGAGGATTAAAGTGCACCAGGTACAATGGGTGTGGATGAGTCAGGAGATCCTGGCTTCAAATGTGAGCTCTTCAAAGTGGCATTTGCCTTTTTTGGTGAGACTCACACCGACCTCTCATTTAAAGAATGAAGAACCATAACAAAAGTCTGAACAGCTCTGATGTGTGAACTGAGGTTGCAAAGCAGGGCTCCCCAGGGGTTTCTTTCTGCCCCCAGGTGGATAAAATACTGTCGCCTGTCTTTCTTGTTCTTGGAGAATGGAGATGGGGCACGTGGCTGCCCATCCAAGGGGTTTGCTGCTTCCACCAGCCAGAAGTGCTGCCAGCTCTGCCCCAGAGCTTCCTGTCAAGGCAGAAATTTACTGCTCATAAAAAGAGACAAAGAACAATTAGGTTGCAAACAAAATGTGTTATCTCCTCTTGGAAGGCCTACCAATCCACCAGGCCATCACTTTCTCTAGATTTAGAGAAGGTGTCATGTTAGTTCGTAGAATCATAGAATAGTTTGAGTTGGAAAGGACCTTAGAGATCATCCCTGCCATGGGCAGGGACACCTTCCACTATACCAAGTGGCTCAAAGTCACATCCAATCTGACCTTGAACACCTCCAGGGATGGAACATGCACAGCTTACAGCAAGACTGATCAACACCTGAATGGGAAGATCTATCCCCAGATCAGGGGTCTGCCCCTCAGTGTCTGCTCCATGCCACACAGGCTTTAGGCTTGACCTGGAGCCCTCAAACACTGTGTTTGTAGATAGTTTGGGTATTAACCCAGCAACTCTAAACCCTGCACTACACTATTCTCCTCCAGACTCAGCAGAACAGTGCTCTCTCTTGTAGCACTGCTTCACTGAACACAGCCCTATTCGTGGCTTAAACCCAGCCTCTTTGGTGAACTGACAACTTCAATCCACATGTTGCACTCTGCTTATCTGGAAACTGACTTCTTCTGATAAACCATGATCTGGTTGCCCACCATCCTCATCCTCGGCAGAAGTGCAGAGTCGATGCAACACTTCACCCAGGCAGTTACCCAACAAGCAAAAGCTCTCCTGTTCATGTTAATCCTCAGTGTCAGATGCAGTGGAGACAACAAGGAGGTCCTCACAGCACCTCTCCTCGCTTCCTCCCTCCCTCCTTCCCACCAGACAGTGGGACCTGGACTGTGCTCAGCTGGTAGGAGCTGAGGCAGCACCAGGGGTTGCTGGTGTTTTATTCTCCTGCCCACATAAGGCACCCATTTCTAAGCCTAAAAGCAGAAGACAGTTTTACAGTAAGAGTCAAAAGTCTTAGTTTCACTGAACTCAACATACAATAAACCAACGTGAGTTTGGATAGCATATTCAGGGTTTATTTCTGCTTTTTTTTTAACTTCTAAGAAACCTTCAGACCCTGGAATGCAAATCAGCATCTGCAATTAGCAAATGCTTTTCAGGCATTTGCTCCTCTCCAGGAATAAGGGTTTTCCCAAAAACTGTCAAATACATTTCAGCAATTTTTCTAGAGTTTTTAAAACAGCATTTATACACTGAAGTTGGGTGTATGCTAGGTCCTGCTGATTTTAGCCTGTCCAGCTCGTTCTCTGCTGTCACACTGGTTATGGAGATCTGGCAAACCATTTTGATTCAAAACCGTGTATCCAGTCACAGATATCTTCCCTTTCACCCCCCTCTTGTGGAGAAACAAATGAGAGGGAAGCTTTGCAAGGAGATACAGAAAAAATACCAGCTCAAAATAAGAGAAATGTGTGTCCTTTGGTAGCGTGGGTGAGGACAGGGAAGGGATGGGGAATAAGAGAAATACAGAAACACCTGCTCACTGCATTTTAGGGAGGAGAGGTGGGAAGGGACATTCTCGAGGAGGGTTCCACAGCCAGCAGCAAGGAGAGGACATGGAAACAGCTTCTCTGTGTGGGAAGCATCATGCTGTGGATGTGGAGGGATGCACGTGAGTACCTGCCCAAAGGATCTTCACTGACAGGGGATCAATACAGGGAGGCAGAACCACCACCAAGGGTGACCCTGCCAGGCAGAGCTTAGCCATGACTGGACAACTGCTGCAAGGAGCCAGAGGGCCATGGAGACCTGTGTCCTGGGTCAGACCCACAGGCTACACGAGGTCTTGTACTTGCCCTTGTGTTGGTCCCAACTGGGACAGGTCCCAGTTCTGTGGCTCTCCTATACCCTACCTCCTGTGTACCCTGAAATCACCTCTGCCCAGGAGAAGAGCCTGCCTGCCTCCTGTCCCTGCATGATCACCAGAGGATTGCTGTTTGCCGTGGTATGGCTGCCCACACCTGGAAACGGGTCACTGCTTCACCCTTCTGAGCAGCACCTTCTGAGCACCTTTCTGAGCAGCACCTTCCCAGTCTGCTGCCCATCCTGATATCACCTTTCTTCTTCCTCCATTTCTGCCTCCCCTCCAAGCTCCAGCCTCTTTGCAACGTGCCTGTAAGCTGTTTCCAAATCCTTTGTTCGGAGCTGGCAGCTGAGCCACAAACCATGGTACTCACTTACTCCCAATCCCTGTCCATTCACAGGCAGGGGCTTATCCAATGCAGCCATCCATCAGCTGGAACTGCATGAACCTGCAAGGAAAATACAGGTACTGAGTGGATGCTTGGTGCTACCCACTGCTGTTTCGGAGGGTGGGCTTCCAGTATTTCTATGTGTTGTGAGGAGAGTGAGGAAGAGCTATGCAGTGCTTCTTTGGTGCCAGAGTGGTTGTCTCCATCCTATGTGGCTGCCTGCCCTCAGAAATGCAGGGACTTGGCTATTTGATGTCATTAATTGCATGGGCGAAGCTCTGAGCCATTTGTAATGCTCAAGGATGACAATATATATGTAATTGCTGCAGTATGCCAGACATGGAGATCTGGTCCTGTAGTGCTCCCTCCAACCAAAACATGTCCATTAATCACTCCTCGGGTGGCATTAGAAGTGACAGCCACTGATTTTTCCCCAGTTGCCCACGAGGAAGGACAAAGCTGCAAGGGGGCCCGGGACAGGGTGGAGGGCAACTCCAAGGGAGTCCTCACACAAGGAACTACTTCAAAGGACAAGTGTTTTTCAGGGAGCACAGTGAAAAATATCCTGCACAGCCTGGTACTTTCTGCAGCTGAAATCTTGCCTACTTTCCCTCCATCCATATTTCCTCACCATTCATCAATCCCGATGCCCTTTCAATCCCTCGTTTTTGCAATGTCGGCAGCATTAGTGATCCCAAAATGCTCCAAAGTCATTTCCATCTTGCTGTCCCTGACACGGAGACCTCGTTACCCCAGAGTGCCTGAATCCATCTGCCCTTTCCTTGGGGACTTTATTCCTGCGGGATACAGATATTTTTACAAATGACAGAGGCAGTGCTGTGGGAACTGGGGGAAGAAGCACATTCTTCCTGCCTCAGCGGGGATGTCCATATGGGCAGCACACCCATAAGATGGCCTCAGTTGGAAAGCTGTGGTAATGGTAGTACAACCCCTAAACCCTGAACAAAGAGAGAAAAGTACAGGGCATCACCTGTGCCTGCCTGACACCCCAAAAAGCAGATAAAACCTCTTTGGTTCTCACTTAAGTCACCAGGTATATGCATGTACAGCTGTGACAGGGATTGAGCTGCCTTTTCCCACTTTCTCAGGCAAAGAAGCTGGTTTATGGTTTTTATTTATGCCTTGGTAACCTTTAAGTCATGGTTTAATCACATTTGATCAACAAAACATGACTGGAAAATGAGAAGTCAGATGTTTAAAATTTTGAAAGTACCCAACAATGCTCTGAGGTTTTTTAAATCTGATTTTGTTTTTCCCTCTGGATTGTTTTAGCAGAGAAATTTTGCGCTTCTTCAGTTCAGATTTGAAAAGAGTTTCATTTGACCTAAAATGGCCTTTTTTTTCAGTGAGAAGTCCATTCATTCTGAAAACAAAATGCATGGCAACTTCCAGGCAGAACACCGTCCTCGTGTTAACACAGTGTTGTGCCTGAACTGCTCTCCAGCCACCCCTCCCCTCCACTCCAAGTTTAACAAAGTGATGCATTACATGTGAACATGTTTTTATCCTCCTTCCCACCCTCAGCTGGATAAATAAAGTCCCTACCCTACACCCCAATGAGATCAGTGGTGAACCCCTCAGGCAGAGCTGTCACACCCCCATGTTTGTGGCTCTTTGGGCTGCTTTGTGGTCCTTGGACCTCCCCATGGGTGAGTTTTGCCCCAGGAGACTGAGACAGTTCAGGGCACAGCAGGACAGAGGAGAAAGGCACAGTTGTGTGTCGACATCAGGCTCAGAGAGAATAAAGGAGTTATTTTCACCCCTTTTTCTGGCTGGCCTTGGCCTTTTACTGCTTGGCACTTGCTGTTTTCCTCCAGGTCCACAAGCCATTGACTGGCTAATGGAATTCAATGGAATTGGTTAACCGGTTTGTACAGTCACCAAAGGAAAGGGAAAGCTGTTTTATCCTCAGCTTCAAAACCATCATTCAGCTGCACACATGAAACACCCATAAATGGAAGTAACAGCAGACCGAGGTGTGATGAGAAAACCACTCACAACCCCTGCTCCATACTGAGCTCTTGCAAACTCCCTACTGGAGCTCCAGCCCACCAGGCAACAACATCCTCAGCCAGGCAGCTCCACCTTGAGACTGGTGAGAAGGTAGGGAATCTGTACCCTGTGGGCATCCCTGGTGGGCTCCAGCCTTTCCAGTCTTCTCCAGGCCTACATGGACACCAACTCACTAGTAGGCTGTCTCCTGCTACATGGCAGAGAGGGATTCAGATATCAAATAGATTTTTGTCTGAGCAGTCAAACCACTGCTGCTACAGACTTCAAGGATGTTGCCAGGTTTGGTGGTTACTGGGTACAAAAACATGTTCATACACAGCAGCCTCTCTAACGCAGACAAATCCATGGGATTCCAGAAGCTAAGGGAAGGGGAGAAAGATGCCTTCCACCCATCATCTCTGTCTGTTTTCCTGGGTTTCTCCATCTCTCTGACTCCTCTTCCAGGACAGTCTATATGTTTTTATCTTTTTTTAATCTTATTTTAACCCATCAAGCAGAGTAAATAACAGGAAGGATTTTTAAGTGGGGAGAAAGGTAGGGCATTAATTACTCTAAAATACCTGAGAACCACCACCCACCAA